CTTGACATTGCTGTCTGCACCAGCTCTGCAAGGCTTTCACTTTGTTTGCCATTTTATTCTAACTTTTTTTTATATTTTTCAAATATTATTTTAATATTATATGCTATGGAAAGTTTGTTTGTTGTCCTTTTAAAAATTTACTTCTAATCTGCTTCTATCAATTTAACAGCTTTTTTAAAGTTTGTTGATGAGCACATTTATTAGAAATTAGTTTAAAAATTCAAATGATAAAACATAAAATGGTTGATAGTTTACTGTAACTCATTACACTGAACACACTGACTTTTCAATACATTTTAAATTAATTTCTGTTTTAGTTTTTAAAATTAAATCAAATCGTTTTATTTTATTAATTTTTAATAATCAACTTTAAATCACAAAAACGTCATCACTTATTTTTGAATCTTTTTCAAACAAAATTGTCAAACATATTTAATTAATCACCACACGAATCGAAATGGATAGTGAATAAAATAAAAGTCAATAAGAATCGGATTTAAAATTCAGTCAGCTGATGATGAATAGATAGCCAGTTTTAATTTACTTACATATTAACAACTAACTAATTTAATTTTTTAATTATTAATCAATTAATTAATTAACTCTTTTAATAAGTTTGTTAACAATCGAGCTAGATATTTGTTGAGTTAGGTTTCTATTTTTATATTTTGATGACTTGTCAACTATAGCGGCGTTGTTGATTAATATTGGTAAACTTTGAACTTTAAAAATAAACAAACAACAGAAGTATAAGAAGTCCATGAATTAATTAAACCACTAATTAATTAAGTAGTTAATTGTGTAATTAATTAATTAAGTAATTATCTAAGTTCAACTAAACCAACTAATCAACCATACCTCACTACATATCTACAAGTTCTACACTACGATTACAATACAGTTAAAATAGGTTTTTCAAAGGCTTTATTTTTATACACACGTCGACGTATAATAGTAATAAAGCAATGTAGTGAAATAGTAGTATATAATGTAGTAATAATGTCGTATCATAGTTTATGTATATATATATGTAATAGTAATGTATTGCAATTATAAGATCCCAATGTAATGCTTATTAACTTTATCCCGGACGTTCCTTCAATTAAAGGATCATTATATTTTTAACACAAAAAATTAGGATTTTTTCATTTAACTATGCTATTCATGCATAGTACATGTAATATAGGATGATGCGTTCACGTCGTTGGATGTTCATGGATATGTTGAGACCAAGATGGAGAAGAAGATTGAATTACATAATTGGAAAAATCATTCGTTTAATTGTGAAAACAAATTGAAGTAAATGATGACTAATTTGTAGGAAACACTTAATGAATTACAAACATATGTTTGTACTTTAGTATCAAAGTTCAATGTCAAATCTTATTGTCACCATCATTATAATTAGCCAAAGCATCGTCATCCTCGTAAAAAAAAACATTATCATAGAATAAACCATAGCCACAAACTAAATCCCCATTGTAAAGTAGGCCATGAATATCACAAAATTCAACTTAGATTAATAATCATGTGGCAACGTTGTCACCTTTATAACGTTCTGAGTTACCTGGAATTATTAGTAACGTATTCTAGCGCTGTGCTCAGGTACACTGCCTAAAATCACTGAAACGAATTATATAAAAAATATATGTGTTTGTTTATTAGTTATAAAATCATTACGATATTTTATATTAGTAAATTGAGTTAATTGCCTTATATACCATAGAACGTATGTTAAAAAGTATGCTCATCCAAGGGGAGGCCCATTTACCAGCATACAACACCTTCTTATGGGTTGAAGCAGGGATATGCAAAGAACCTCAATTTTTTCAACTTTTAATTATTTTCAGTAATGTCTCCCCTTGCTCCAAACCACATAACTAGAATAATAGGACTAATCGATCAATTCGATCTATCGGTCGGGCTATTTGTCGTGCTTGGATTGTTGGCTTACGAAATTGCATGGACTTTAACGAGCAAGCTAAATAAAATATTTACTTGATTTAATATGCTTAAAACATTGTAGTAATTCTATTTAATTTTAATAATGATTAATAGAATTATGTATTATTAAATTATTTTTGTTAATTTGAATATAAAAATTGCTTTTGGTCCGGTGAAAACCGGTGGCTTACTGTAGCCGAAGGTTGGCTTAGTAGGATTGAACTATAGTCACCCTTTTTTTTTACACTATTCGATCATGTTAAAAATTGATTTGCTTATGAAATAAACGGCCTAAATAAATCAAAATTGTTATTTGAACAACTATCTTCATTATATTCAATAAACATTTTACATTCTGCTGATGCTCATAAGAAACTGGCTGCTGAAATCATACGTTGGCTTACATTAGTGGCTTACAGGGTTTCATAGAACTCTTACGATAGCACTTTTTTGTACATATAATGCTTTAAATAAATCAATATATTCATATCACAATTATTTTTGTCAGTATAAATATACAAATTGCTTTTGTCAGGTGAAAAACAGTGGCTTACTGAAGCCGTAGGTTGGCTTAATCGGATTTTTTCTCATGTTTACAATACTATGAGATAAATCAATCAAACAATCAGTCAGTCGGTCGGTCAGTCAGTCAGCCAGCCAGTCTGTCAGTCAATCAATCAACCAACCGATCAATCAACCGATCAATCAATCAACTAAATTGAATGAACCAAATAAACAAAAACAAAAATAAATAAAAAAAATTTGCAAGGCCTGTTCAAACTCGAACAAACAGTTAACCGTACAGATCTACAAACAATTTCGAGATTTTAGTAAAGAAAGAAAAACACAGTAGTTGCTTTTATTTGAATTCATTCAAAAATGAAAAGTGACAGTTAATTAAAATTTTAAAATGTCAATTTTTTTTTAAATTCGTATTTTAAATAAACAAATATAACAAAATATCGACCGATAAAAATAGTTATTATCCATTATTATTATTATCATACACACTCCTTAGAAGTTCTCGAAGGATAATAAACCACGTAACATGAACATTTAGTAAGAACAGTTCACAACATATCATAATGACTAAATCAACATACTAAACAGAAATAATTTATACATGCATATATACAAAGTAAATCAAGAAATATCCAAAAATTATATAACCAATTTAAAAAAAAACTAGAAACCAGTGAACATTTAATGAATAAATAAATAGACATTATTAAAAAGATTGTTCAAAAAGGTACAATTTAAGGCGACGACGAGAATGAAATGTAGTTTGTTTTGTTGGTGTGGTGTTGTGAAGCGAAAACAAACACATCACACAAAACTAGTAAGAAGTCGCAAGAATAATAGTCAGTCACCTACCTATAATAAA